AAAAGGCAGTGAATCTAAAAGGAACCCATTTGGTAGGTAGGAAATAGAGTTGTCCAGGAAGAAGAGGTCTCAGTTCAGTCAAAGATGACATGTGTTGAGCCTAAGGCAGTCAGAGAATGGAGTACCATCATTAAAGATTTAAAAGATGCAAGATCCTGGGGAGGGATGATAGAGCAGGTGCCTGCATGGCGTGGAGGCCAAGGTCATTAACGCTGGGAGTTCAGCCTTGTGAGGCTGGGGCGTGGGATGAGCCGTGGACCCGTGGACACACATTGCCCAGGATGATGGCAGCACCAGAGACAAGGAGGATGCCTGAGACTTTGGGGGAAAATCCTCAAGGAACATGAGTGAGTGAGAGGGCTTCAGAGCAGGTGGACTGGGGGCTCAGGAGGGCACTGATGGGGTCACGCTCAGCATTCACCTTACCACTCTGAAGTGTGTCTCTCCATCTCTCCATCTCTCTGCTAGACAGTGAAGTAGCTTATCTCTGTATCTGTAGTATCTGGGACTGGGTGTCTGCCCCACAGTTGGTGCCCAATAAATGCTTGAGGAGGCAGGGAGGGAGAGGGGAGGCTAGGCTGGTTTCAGAAAAGCTTTGCAGCCGTCCAGTGGACAGGCCCACATCAGCCCCACTGTGTCCCTACAGTGCCCAGCAGGGACATGCTCAGTATCGCTCCCACCATGAGATTGAATGAGCAAGAAGAAACTGGGAGAATCATCGAGATGCAACGCATAGAAATCCGGCGCCTCAGAGACCAGATCCAAGAGCAAGAGCAGGTCCCAGGGTTCCACACTCTCCCTGGAATTCGGCTTCCTTCCCTCCTCGACTCAGAGGTAGACTTTGAGGTACAGACCAAGTGACCCCGTCTGGTGAGCCATCTCCAGCCACAGCCAGAAGCAGCACCACGTGCATGTGCTCAGGCCAAACTCATGCTGGAGTCCCTGCAGTCCCTGCAGCATTGACCCCACCAACCTCTTTCTCTTGCCCTTGCGAGTTTGGGACATGGTCAGAATAAAGGTGTTTGCCCACAGCCTTGTCCAGCTTCTGCTTAGCTAGGGGATTGGGTGCAGGGGAGGGAAAAATGGGAGCTTGAGGACCAGGGGGCTCCGGCTTATCCAAAGCCAATGCAGCTTGTCCCTGTCTGGGCACAGGGCTGCCTGGCACCGCAGAGATCACACTGGACCTGGGGCTGGCTTCCTGTCACCCTTTCCTCTTGCCTGCTACTTCTCACCTGTCTTTCTCCTCTGCCGGCTCAGTCAGGACCAGACAAAGCCACCTACATTTTCCTCCCCTTTGTGAAATGTAATGAGGCTTTCTCGGGATTTTTATACCTGTGTAGAAATGAGAGTAAAATAATGAATAGAAGGGCTGGCTGGTTAGCTCACTTGGTTAGAGCGTGATGCTGATTAACACCAAGGTCAAGGGTTCAGATCCCTTTACTGGCCAGCCACCACCAACAACAAAAAAAAAAAAAATAGATAAAGTAATGAGCATGGCGCATGGCAAAGCTACAAGAATTCTCCATCATCTCACTGTGTCTGCTGACCTGTCTTAGGACCCTCACAGTGCTCTGCCCTTCTGCTCTTAACTCCACATCACTCTGGACGTCAGCTTTGCTCTGTGGGTCCCTGCCCTGCTCCTTTTCTGGGGGTGCTTCTCCTTCTGGTAATTCCTCTCAGGTCCCATCCTGGGAGACCCAGCCACTCAGGGTTACCAGGAAAGATAGTTCTTTATGCACTAAAGAGCAAAGGAATGTAACCCAAATGTCTCTGTCTTCTCCCAGCGGCAGAGGCCAGACACCCCTCCAAGACCCAAATAATGAATATTTAAACCCACAGCTCTTGCTGGTCCCTGCTGGTCACCTCTGGCTGTCTTAAACCTGGCATCTCCAAGGCATCTTCTCACCTTCCCCCAATCTGCTTTACCCAAATTCTGGTCATGCTCTTGGGTAGTTTTCACACGAGAGCTGAGGCTTAGCTGTCCACATCGGGCGAGGCTCTCCCGAGGCTGGGGATAACCGAAGGAAGTGTGCGGCAGAGGCCCTAAGGCAGAGTACTCCAGGGGTCTCCATGGGACTCGCTCCTTAGCAACTCCCTCCCCAGGCTGGTCTGTACCCTGTCCAGAAGCCAGCATGTCTCCTCCACGCCATTGTGCCCTCCAGCATGTCCTCTACCCACTGGGGGACCAGATCCGGAGAGCAGGACAAATTCAGGCATCCCTAAGAGGTTCCACCATGAGGATGACAGCCCATTACATTATCGTGCCAGGTAGACGGGCTCTCCTGGACTCAAACTTCTCCACTCCAAACTAGCACCTTGGCTTTACCTTTGCAGAAGAAACTGACTCTAAATGATAGTCGGGGAGAGACTGCAGTGGCGGGGGCGGGGGGGGGGGG